TTCTTTCCTATGAAGTGCTGCCAATAACAGAAATGTCAAATGAATTAGGAAAAACAACAACCGAAGTACAAAGAGCTTCAAGAATGAATCTGAACCGAATGAATGACTTTGCTTCCTGCAAAGGTTTCATCATCTTTGCCTGTCCTTTATACCTTATGGGAGGGACAATCACCTCCCAGCCTTACTCCCGAGTTGCCCCTTTTGTTTCAGTTGCTCTCACCTTCTAGCAGCTCTGCACATACGTGCACTGGGAACAGGCTCCCCTTGTTCCTCTGCCTCACTGCTGCCAGACTCCGAGGGCTCTGAAGGCAGCACCCCACTCCCAAATGGTCCTGGCCCCATCTCTGCATTGGATGCAGGACCCTCGTTTGAGTCCTCTCCAGACTCCCCGACAGGTCCCCTTTCTTCCCCACTGTCTGATTCCACTGCCATCTGCACAGGCTGCCGGCGAACCACAACAGCCATTTAGATTTTCCCTCAAATTATTTATTTCATTTATTATCATATTTCAAGGGTGGTGCAGTGGTTCAGCGTTTAAGATGCTAGGCATGTCAGCTGGAAAGCGGACAGCCCAGGTTCGAGACCTGAGTTCCACATGATGGGGTGAGCTCCCACCCTCGCCTCAGCTCCTGTCAGCCTAGCAATTCAAAAGCATACAAATGCAAGTAGATAAATAGGTACCACTTCAGTGGGAAGGTAACAACGTTCCATGACATCATGTTGGCCACATGATCGCAGAAATGTCTTTGAACAGCACTGGCTCAATGGTCTTGAAATGGAGATGAGCACGACTAGCAGAGCAAAACTCTGCAGGACTCCTTTACTTTTTTATTTTTATGCCATTCAACTTGCCATTCAGTTCAGCTAGCAAATAATAGGACATCAAGTGTATATGCTCTGCTATGGTTTGGGGTCTGAGAGATTGATTGGAATGTAGCGGATGAGTAACAGACTAGAAATTATCAGTGTTGTCTTCCAATATAAAGCAAGATCAGGTCACTGATCTTGAACCTTGAGTTTACATTTAATTTTTAAAATTGCAGCAGAAAACATTAATCAAATAATAATTATAAACTCCTTTTGGGAATATGGGGATATGGGAAGGCATACTTTTTAGTTATTTTGTTTACCCTGAAAGCACAACAAACTTACGGGGACATCTGAATTTTGCATGTAACTCTGAAATATTCTTTCGGTGGACCCTGGAGCCTCCTTTGAGCACAGATGCCAAAATCTGGCAACCTAAGGCCCCAAAACAAAACTCCACACTGTATATAAAATATGCATTCTAAAATATTTAGCTTTTGGTGAAAAATTAATATCTCAGATCTTAAATCTAGGCCTGAGAGCTAGTTTGGTGCAGTGTTTAAAGCAGGGGTCCCCAAACTTGGCAACTTTAAGATTTGTGAACTTCAACTCCCAGAATTGTCCAGCCAGCATAGCATAGAATTCTGGGAGTTGAAGTCTACAAGTCTTAAAGTTGCCACGTTTGGGGACCCCTGGGTTAAAGTATCAGAGTAAAAACAGGGAGACTCTGAGTTCTAGTCCCACTTTAGGCACAAAGCCAGTTGGGTGACCTTGGGTTGGTTCCTCTCTCTCAGCCTTCGGAAGAAGACGGCAAGAGCAAGTCAATTCTTGCCAAGAAAACTATGGATTTAGCTTTGTAACTGCCAAGACTGACAAAAGCACAAACAACCCTTTCCCAGCAAACCCTTAACTGCTTCCCCAAGCATACATATTGCTGTAAATATTGCACAAAATTAATATTTAACTGAAAATTTAAAGTTTAAAATATAGACAGCCCTCACTTTCCAACCACAGTTGGGACCAAAATCTCTACATCTAAGTGCCATGCTAATTAAGTCCAATGTCATATGATTGTAATCTGGCTGTGATCGTTAATCGCAACTTTACATAATTGCAAGTAGCAACTTCCTGCCAGTTTTCCAATTGACTTTCTTGTTGGAAGCAGACCCCGAAGGTCAGAAATGGTGATCATGGGACCATGTAACATTGGGACCATCGTAAATGATTGCCAAGCGTGGGAATTGTGATCACAGGATCACAGAGACGCCACAAAAGCTATAATATCAAGGGTTGGTTGTAAGTCTCCTTTTTCAGCACCATCATAACTTCAAAAGATCACTAAACAAGTGGTTGGTAGGCGACGACCACCTGTGTATAAATACACACCTCTAAACTTGAAACCCAGATGGATCTTGTTCCCTGTTGCATCCCTTCTACACAACATTGCACTGCTTACTACCATTCTTGACTATCCTTCCCATCATTCAATGAAGACTTGGCCACCAAACATTTGCCCACTTCTTCTGTCTCCATTGCAGAAAAAAAACACCTGTTCAACTACCCACTGGTTAGTTGGACATGTAATTTTTTTTTTGGCTGAAGTATGAAACTATTAATGCTCAGCTCTATACTTATATAAATTGTGGAGAGAAGCTTGTGTTGATGGTGGTAGCGGTGATGATGATTGAACATGATTTCCTCCATAATTCTGGGGTTCCACTTCACTGTTCTATGAACTGATGGTTTCCAAGCCACATTCTAGTTATCTTCCTGATACAGAATAAAATAGGTTTTCAGATAGCCTTTTGAACAGCAGAGCAGATATATTATTAACTCAGCGGAGCATGGAAGATGTAGCAAAGCCTTCAGGAATGTGACTGCTTATAGTTTTTTTTTTTTAACTGTAAAGCATCATACAATACCATCAGTAAGACTCAAAGACACACAATGGAGAGCATGAATTTTTGCTTTCTGTATCTTTATGTCCTTGGTTTCACCGAGGACTTAAAGGAAATTTTAAAAAAATGCTTTTCCTGGTTGAAGGCTTGGAAGTCACTCTTCCTTGCAGAGACAAGTTGGTGAATTGATATTTGCTACTTAAGAACAACTGTACTGAGCCAAATATTTAGAGTAGATTAAAAACACAACATAATAACAGAGTTGGAAGGGATCTTGGAGGTCTTCTAGGCCAACTCCCTGCTCAAGCAAGAGACCCTTTACAATTATGGACAAAGGGGTGTCCAATCTCTTCTTGAAAACCTCCAGTGATGAAGTACCCACAACATCTGAAGGCAAGCTGTTCCACTGGTTCATGGTTCTCACTGTCAGGAAATTTCTCCTTAGTTCTAGGTTGGATCTCTCTTTGATTAGTTTCCATCCTTTGCTTCTTGTCCTGCCTTCAGGTGCTTTGGAGAATAGCTTGACTCCCTCCTCTTTGTGGCAGCTCCTTAGATATTGGAACCCTGCTATCATCTCACCCCTAGTTCTTTTCATTAGAGATCCCCAATTCCTGCAATTGTTCTTCATATGTTTTGTCCTCCAGCCCCTAATCATTTTTGTTGCTCTTCTTTGCACTCTTTCTAAAGTCTCAGTATTATTTTTTTTATATCATGGTGACTGAAACTGGATGCAGTATTCCAAGTGTGGTCTATAAAATAGTATTAACACTTCACATGATCTTGGTTCTATCACTCTATTAATGTATCCTAGGGCTTGCTTTGTTGGCAGCTGCTGGCTCATATTTAAGTGATTGTCCACTAGGAGTCCAAGATCCCTCTCACAGTACTAGTACCTCTACTACTTCTTGCTACTACTACTACTAGCTATTTGCCTTCTTCAGTGTTTTACTATTTATCACTGGGACTTCACTTGATAGTTCTAAGAAGATGTAATCCTTCTCCATGACTGCTTTTCATCTGTTGTTATTTGGGGGCACATCAAAGTTCTGTCCAATTCATTATCAGTTCTGCAAATGCTACGGTACACCTGAGCCTGCTGATATTCAGATTTGGAAACAAGTACAGGTGGTCCTTAACTCACAAATACAGTTAGTCTTTGACTGAAGTTGAAACAATTAATGGCATTTATGTCCTTCAAGTAATGACATACTTGATGTTTTTAGATTATTGGCATCATTTTACCTAATCTGCATAATTCCACAAATAACACCAATGTAAATTGCATCAATTATATTTAATGCAGATTAAACAGACACTTATATTTAACAGGCATCTCTCTCCCAAATACTCCATTAATTCAAGTTTCACTATACTCAGAAATTACATTTGAAACCAGTGATTTGCTTTGCAACACATACAATACCTATTTTTTTTTTCATTTTAATTTAAAAAAAGCTAAAAATCCCCTTTCAGAAAATAAAACCAGGTGGGACAGGGAAACAGGTGGGCATTTTGGTAAATGTTGTCAGGACCATTGGAAGTTTATACCTACATGTGTACTTTGAATACGAATTATTTACATTGAGGTGATAAGCACATCTAAATTGCAAAACCCAAGCTAAGTTCTTCACCATTAAAAAAGGAGGGCAAATCTTTACAGTGATATAAATTTGTGAACACATACCGAAGTGATATACATAAATACCAAAATGATATAAATAAATAAAATATGATAGGTTTAGCCTGAACATTTTGCTATTTGTTGTTGTCTTTTCCGCTAGATTTTATCACACAAGAATTTAGTCAACTAACGGTCAGCATTAAATTGATACTAGATAAGAGTTAAAGGAATTCTAGCGGGGTTGGACTTGAACCGCTTATGGGAACGTAATGATTCTAGGCTAATTACTTGCTTGATTCAACCCCCGGATTCTGCTTCTACTACTCCTACAAGTTCCCAATAAACAATATGATGGACCCTTCGGTGTCTTCTCATCTGGCAAATTCACTTGAGAGCTCTGCATGGTGGAAAACCCTTATTAGCACTGACACAACTAACTAAATTAAACAGAGCAATAAAACACAGTAATGTGATAAATCACTTTTTTTGATTGTCATTGTAAATTCAAACAGTCGCTAAACAAACGGTTGTAAGTCAAGAACTCCCTGTAGTGCAGTTCTCCTGATGTTAATCAACCAAAGATATCTTTAATCAGGATGCAGCTCCAATTTAAATACAGAAGGATTTATTCTGTTTATAAAAAGAAGGCAACAACTATTGACAGATTTACTCACCTGCCCAGCAGTAAAAATTCACTGGTCAGTCCCAAGCGTCTCATTGCCATTAACAGTCCTCGCACAGTCATGCCTTCGCAGAAACACGCCACAACTCTTGCTTTTGGTAAATGGCTTCTGAGCTTTTCCAACAATTTATCAAAACTCTGCTCTCCGGCATTGCTGTAGATCTTGTAAGAATGAGCGATGCAGATTCCTTCTTTAGCTGACATGTCTTTGAAGGCTTCCATTCCACTTTCGCCATAGTTTCCTAGAGCGAAAATCAAGATGCACAAAAATATTAGCCAAAAAAATTATGGGAAGGGCTCATATAAGCAGTGATGTGACATCATCACATAACTAGGAAGCTGAAATCAAATGTAAAGGAACAGATGAGGAATAAGATGAGGAATACCTGCATAGGAAACTACTTATTTTTTTTTAAAAAAAAAAACGGAATAGCAACTCATTGCAAACCAAATATGACTATTTAGTGGGACATAACTTTAAAAAAGGCCAACATACTATTACAGCAATAGTACTTAGATTTATATACCACTCCATAGCATTTTACAGCACTCTCTGGACAGTTTACAATATCAGCATATTTGCAGTTTAGTTTAGTTTAGTTTAGTTCATTGTCATTGCACCTCATACAACAAAATTAAATACCATCTTCAGTGTACATTATGACTATGAAAATAAACACAAACACATATACTTCACATTCTATACATTGAATTGAACCCCTGATATTGCATTAATACTGAACTATAAAGTAGAATTCAAAAGAGCTACTGCCCTGGGATAGAAGCTGTTTTTCAGCCTATTTGTCCTTGTTTTTATTATTCTGTACCCTCTTCCAGATGGTAACAGTTCAAAAAAAAAAGGGTGCCCAGGATTAGATGGATCTTTGAGAATGTTTTGAACTTTCTTAAGGCAGCGGGAGCTATAAAGCTCTTCCAAAGAGGGGAGAGGGCAACCAATGATCTTCTGGGCAATGAAGTTAACCCTGTTAGGAATGTAAGTCACCTAATAGTTATTTGGGTTGGAAATATATAAACCAGGATAGACATTTTAATACTGTATCTTTAAGAAAATGCAAAAACTGTAATTGGGTGTGGTTTCTCAAACGGCCATAAGATGGAGCCAGAAACCTGGGTTGTGTTAGTCTCAGAAGAGAGTGTGAGTGAGTCTCTGTTTCCTTCTGTTGGAGAGTATTGCCGTTCCTCCTAATTGACTGATATTCTTGGATTTGATGTAAGTCTGCTACTGAACTGTTTTTGATACTGGACTTTGTTATTGGATTATCCCTGGACTGAAAACTGACTGATTTAACCGCGAATGACTTGGACTGTGTTTGAACTTTGCTTAAACGTTTATTGGAAGTAAAAACCTACATTTACTGTACAGTGTATCTGTGTGCTATGTGTGTATTATTCAACATTACTCTCACTACGTCTCTCTGTATGCGCTCATTCTCCTAACGGGGAATTACCTCAACAAACTCCCCCAACAATCTGGGTCCTTATTTTACCGACCTCAGAAGAATGGAAGGCTGAGTCAACCTTGAACCGGTCAGGAATCAAACTTCAGGCTGTGGACCGAGTTTGCCTGCAATACTGCATTCTAACCCCAGCGCCACCAGAGGTATGATGCAGTGACATCATACAATCATCATATAAGCAGTGACATGACATGACATAAGCAGTGACATGTAGTCTTCAGTCTATAAACCAGGTGATCTGAGTTGAAGAAACGTTATTGCTGGAAACTTGGGAACTTAGCATCAATTTCTCACTTATAAACAGGACATTTGATTTATTGCTTTCATAATCATGCCTGAAGATTGTTATTCTTATATTCATTTTTGCATGTGCCATATTCCAATAAATACTCATTCCATGTGACCTTGTCTGATCTCAACAAGCTAAACAGGATCAGAGGTGCTTAGTACAGATATGATATACCACCAGGAAATCCCACATTTGTAGAAGTCAAAATATGATCCTGGGATTATGACAGTGTAATATGTGAATAGCTGCCAAGTACAATGTCTGGTTACATCTATGTAGTCACCAGGTTTTAGGTTCAACTCGAGGGTCACTTGATATATATGGGACAAACAAAATACACATAAGTTGAAACATTTTAAATATCATTAAACGTGTTTGCTTACCCAGAGAGATAACACTTACAATCATCAACAATAGACTAATAATGATCCTGGAAATGCTGGTTATATTTAATTTGAAAGGATACACTTAATTTGAAATCTGTCCTGGAACCATGGTGCTATCTTTCATCAACTCATCTTTGAAACTGGACAGAAGTCTCTGAACTTTAGGAGAAAATTAATTTGAGCTGTCAGTAAAAAAAACTAGAGAAAGAATAATCTTGGCTGTCATAAAAAAAAAAAGCTATTCTTTACCCTGGTATTATAAACATGTATCTCAGGGGCTGCTTTTCATAGAATTTAGGGTTCCTGGCCAATCAAAGGATATATCACAAGCCTGACCAGTTGCAGATGGCATCAACTTCGTTGTAATATGACAGTCTGCTATACCCAGACATGATTTTTAATTGGTAACCAGAGACTTAAGTCATTGATGTTACTGTTATTGTTGTTGTTCAGTAGAATAGAATAGACTAACAGAGTTGGAAGGGACTTCAAATCCAACCCCCTGCTCAGCCAGGAAACCCTATGCAATTTCAGACAAATGGTTTTCCAATATCTTCTTAAAAACTTCCAGTCTTGGAGAACTCACAATTTTTGGAGGCAAGTTGTTCTGCTGGTTAATTGTTCTAACTGTCAGGAAATTTCTCCTTAGTTCTAAGTTGCTTCTCTCCTTGATTAGTTTCCACCCACTGCTTCTTGTCCTACCCTCATGTGCCTTGGAGAATAGCTTGACTCCCTCTTCCTTGGGGCAGCCCCTGAGATATTGGAAGACTGCTATCATGTCTCTCCTAGTCCTTCTTTTCATCAGACTAGACATACCGAGTTCCTGCAACCGTTCTTCATATGTTTTAGCCTCCAGTCCCCTGATCATCTTGGTTGCTCTTCTCTGCACTCTTTCTAGAGTCTCAACATCTTTTTTACATCATGGCGACCAAAACTGAATGCAGTATTCCAAATGTGGCCTTACCAAGGCATTATAAAGTGGTGTTAACACTTCATGTGATCTTGATTCTATCCCTCTGTTAATTGGATAGAATCAAGATCATGTGAAACATTAATACTACTTCAGTTGTGTCTGATTCTTCATGATCCCATGGACCATAGTACACTAGGATCTTCCTTCTCCTCAACTGTCTCCCCTCTTTTCCCCAAATCTATGTTCATTGCATTGATGGCACTATCTAATCATCTCATCCTCTGCTATCCCCTTCTTCTTTTGCCTTCCCTCTTTTCCAACATCAGGACATGGGTGGGCTTCAAAAAATTTAGCAACCAGTTCTCTGCCTGGTTGCTGGGTGGGTGTGGCCATGTTGGGTGTAGCCTAGTTGGCCTCCTGCATCACAATGGGGGGGGAGAGTGTTTTCACCCACCCTGCGCTCCAGAGGCTTTCCTTGAGCCTTCAGGAGGGCGAAAATGGACGCCAGAAACAGGCCCATTTCTGGCCTTCCAGAGCCTCTAGGAGGCCCATTTTTTCCCCTCACCAAGCCTACGTGTGGGCCCTGCACTTATCTGGGATCCAAAAGGGGCCACATGGGGACTCCTGGGAGGGGTGGGGAGGGGTGGGCGGGGCCAGCCAGGGGTGGGATTTGCTGGTTCTCTGAACCGGCCATAAAATTAACAACTAGTTCGCTTGAACCAGGGAAAACCGGTAGTCGGCCACGCCTGCATTGGAGTCTTTTTCAAGGAGTCCTCTCTTCTCATTTGGTGGTCTAAGTCTTTGAACTTCAGCTTCAGTTTCTGTCCTTCCGAGAAACAGTCAGGGTTGATTTCTTTTAGGATTGACTAATTTGATCTCCTTGCAGTCCATAATGCTATTGACATGTAGACTGCTATTGGTAACTATGTGTGGTTTTTAGATTGCATGAATTGGGTTATTTTGGCACGAGGGTGATTACGTTCAAGCATATGCCCAATAATGACTTTTGTACAAGTGTGCATGCTTTGGGTAAGATGGGGAAACTCTTTTATGAAATTATGAGATCTTATTTCATTCAGAATGGGGGGAAAGGAAAGAAGGATCGTCTGAAAATTGTTTATTTGGAAAAAGGAAAAGTAAACCAGTGCTTGGGAACAGATGCAGCTCCACTCAGGATACAGGGAAGAAAATTTTGCACAACTTTGCAAACAAGAATGTCCATCCAACAGACATTTATCTAGCCTAATTAATTTTTCATATAAATTCTTCTGATGGTGAGGAAGAATTTTTGAGAGAACATGAACATGCATATTTAATTGCAGTTATATGGGAGGGAATAATGAGATCTTTTTTATGATAGAGAAAGACAAGAATGGCCATTTCTGTTACTTTTGTGGCCCACATATAGTTAGCTGTATTGTCAAAAGTTCGTAAGACAACAAAGGAGAATGTTTGTAGCTCAGGATTGGTGCTCGGTGCTCTCTGGTGCTCTCTTCTTGCAGATGTTTCATTACCCAACATCGTTACTGCAGTGCACTGATCATCATGCACTGATGATGTTACCTAATTTGATAAGAAACATCTGCAAGCAAACAACTGAACTCAGAGAGCACCAAGGACCCCTTGTTTGTAAGACAAATCAAACACACAAAAGCAGTGGTGGGATTCAACTTTTTTTTTTTTATTACCGGTGGGTGTGGCTTGGTGGGCACACTTTGCTATGCGCTTTGCAGAGGGTTTGATACGGACTTTCTCCTGCAATCCTGCACTCTCCCTGTGTCTTCCACAGCTGATGTGTGGGAATCCGCTATGCTGCACGAAGCAGCTGAGCTTCAAAATCAGGAAATAAAGGTCAGTATGGAGCCAGGGAGGGTGGAAGGGCCAAGCAGCTGATCGTCAGAGTGAATGGTTAGCTCACAGGTGATCCTCGGAGCTACTGATTCAGCGAAACCGGGCCAAACCGGTAGACTACCACCACTGCACAAAAGGCTCATGGTAGCTACAGTCAAGAAGATCGCAAGATGATTGTCAGCCTTGCCAGGTAGACCAGACAAGAAACACAAAAAGATAAGCTAATTCTACTTTATTGTAAAGCTACATTAATTGAATTTTACAAGCCTGGAAGTACAATTCTCCTGACATCTCCTTTACAGCCCAAAAAACTAGGGAGGGTCTC